ACTGTAAAAAAAAAAAATGAACGACTTAAAACGAATTGTGTACTGATCAACTTATGTAGATGAGGCCAATGGTGTAGATTTGAAGAAGTTACTGTTGACATTAGCGTATGAAGACAAGATAACACACGATTGCTTCAAGGTATTTGGTTAAAAATTACTTTTTGAAACTAAAAACCAAAAAAAATGTAATTAAATATTATAATATTCTAAATGAATAACGCATTGGTTTTGTGTGTGTATACAATGGACTTAGACTCAAATGCTTACGTCTTTTGAAGTGGAGTTTTTCCTCAGCGTGTTCACAGAATACGCAAACAGTTCTCACCAAGATGGATGTCTTAGTCTTCAACAGCTACCAAGTGTATTAAAAGATTTAAAATTAGTCGATACGGAGATCGAAAAAGTAGTCCAAGAACTTAAAGTTACAAATAAAAAAAGGAAATTTTTAAATTTTGATCCAATTGAAGCTCAATTTCTTATTAATGAAGCGGACTTCTTGTTGATAATGTTGAAAGTAAAACCTGAAGTGAGCAATTATATATTATGTGCAAAAAATGGAAAATATTATTATTATTACTATTATTTGTAACGATTATAAAATAAAAGCTTTACAAAACAACGTACTTAATAGCATTATATTATAATAAATAGCAATGGTCGGTTAAGAGTTTTAGTATTCGTTTTTTCAATAAAAGTATGTAACTATTTAAAATTTTTGAAATTATATTAGATAAAACTATTATTTCATTTGAATATTTATACATAAAAAAAATGTAATTCTTTGTTTTCTTTATACACAAATAACCATAATAACATTAATAGTCTAATTAATACCAGTGAAATGTTCATTTTAAGTATTGTATTTCTATATGAAAGCTTTCCTTGTCTACTACATACATGAATTTCCATAATAATATTAACAGTCTAATAATTATTACCAATGAAATGCTCATCTTATTACATTATAGGGTTATGGTCTAAACCTACAACAAATAGAAAAGTTCATTGATTTGTATGATACTTGTCCCAAATTGGTGGTTTCCGGTGGTATTGATCCTCTGGAAATTCAAAAAATCTTCAAAGAGTTTGGTATGGCTGACCCGAAACATAATTCGAAAATGCTGTTCACACCCAACAGTAAGAATGTAATGTTAAAATATTCAAGTTTCATACGTTTAGCTATTATACATAATATTGGAAATAATACTAATTGAAACATGCACAGGATCCGCTGAGAAAGAGTTGATGGAGTTGATGTTGGTTACGGCAGAACGTGGTAGGAAGGTACACAAAAATAAAATTTTACTATTTTTTTATAAGGTTTAAATTTCTTTGCTGTGTTGTTATGTATTGCATTACCTACTAAATACCTATTAGTTGGTCGAAATAATATTTTTTAATTTAAATATTTTCCAGAAACTCACAAAAAAAAGGTCCATGCATACTTGTTTGGTGCGGTCTATCTTAAGCGATTTTGTAGAAAACGACAAAGATAGTGATGGTATTCTTTCTAAGAAAGAGTTGTCTACTGTGATGAAGTCCATGAATTCTTATTGGTTTTCTATGCCAGACTTGGATAATCCTCGAAATGACGATAGTAGTTTCTTCAATTATATAATAACGAATTAGTCTTAGTTATTTTTGACCATCGCACATAAAAATGTTATTTTCGTTTTTTAGGAGGTAAAACAAACATTGCGAAATTCATAAAAATTATGTTCAGCTACTATATAGAGGACATTGAGTGAGCCATTGTACGTGATGATGACAAGTGAGCTTCAAAAATATTATATTAATTTTATATTATGCACGCACAATATTCGTAATTATACTATTTGAAATTTTAAAATGCTTATATATACTTTGTAATTATAATATTTAAAGTACCGCTTCAGAAATCTTCTCATGTAAATATGTTGTAATACATTATAATTATGATTTGAAATATCTCTGTAATAAAGGTTTTATTATTTTAATCACAAACCCGTTATACATTTTTTACACATATTTTTTCGCAGTAAGGTTAGTATTTTTAATATTAGATCGCACAAGATAAGTTAGATGTATCACATATGGTTATAAATCAACGTTGTGTACAATATTTACTTGTGAAACTCCCATTACAGAATATTTTTTCCTTATATCATGGAAGTTTTATTGAACAACTAAAAGTCGGGTTAACTACAAAACTCCCACAAATTATTTATATTACTATTTAAATGAAACATCATTTCTACTTGTTACCTAAATTAGTTGACGATTTCAGAATTTGGTTGTCGAGTATGAATTAGTTTTCCCACATTTTACAATATAGTTCATACATCTTCGATAGTTAAAGAATATTATAGATATGAGATATGAATTACTAGTAATGGATGGCGGCACATTTATTTATGGTTGAAATTGTGCATGTCAGAATCGGTGGTAATAGTATGAACTATATAATCTGTATCTGTTTGATAGGAAATTTTACTGGGAGAAGTCGACGGTGATAGTTTGGTAGAACTAATTGTCGGATTAACCGATAGAGTTATTCGGTCGTATCGTTGGAGTCAAGTGCAGCTGCCGGTCGCCTAGTTCCTTTGCACAAATGAGAATGTGTTAATCAAATTGCAAATTACTATATTATAGTTTTATTTCATCGTCACCCAAGATAAAAAAACAAGTTGTACCTTATAATTTACGGTATGCACAATTGATTTTGTTTTTATTTAAGATACACTAAACAGCAAGTTAAGACATAATACTACCAGTTATAAAACTACCAGCTACTTGCTGCTGCCTTTTGTACTAACTTTTAAAAATTGACTCATTTATTTTTTCTCCAATTTTCGTTTATCATAATTCTGAAATGCACACAACAGTATCAATACTTTTTTGTTGTTATAACGCGATATGGAACTAATCTAGTTTAGCACCCACGCATATTTTGCGTTTTTTTATTATTAAAAATTTGTGGTTTTTTACGCTGATGGCGGCAGTGAAGTCAGATTTGGCCGGTCGGACTTAATTTTGACGGTATAAGCAAAACTGTAATTTAATTTTTTTGTTTGGTAATAAACTTTGAAATTGTTTTTTTCTAAATATGTGTTTTTACAAACATTCGTATGAGTGTTTTTAATTTCAAAAGCAATATTAGTAGTTATAACTAAAATATATATTTTATTAATTTTTAATTATGTATGTTCTCAGGTGAACAAGCTTCTTGCACCATAAAAGGTTGTACGGAACGTAGAATTTTGAGCAAAAGACAAAAGGCAAATAAGGATAGCATAGTATTTAACAAATTTTCAATGTTATGTAACACATTTGATATGGGAAATTATCTATTTTTATTTTATCATCATGAAATAATTGTAACAATTCGGTTGTTAATATTATAATCTTAACATCATATAAATTCTCGATTTGGTATTTTCTTAGATGCTGCTAGTAGTAATGTGAAGTAAAGATTTTCACGTAAAATTATTTCATAAGAACAATCAAGACAAGAGAAAACTATACAGCCAATTAACCTATTCTAAGTTTTAAGAATAGGGTACTGTTAACACAGCGAACGTCGGCTAATGGCCAACAATTAAATTAACCACTATTTCACACTTAATATGTATTACTCAACCATTTTTCGTAAAATGTTTATGTTGAATTCAAGATCTATCAGTCGTAGTAAAAATAAGTAATCGCTCGAAATGTGTATACTTTTGTTTTACTGTATTTTTTATGTAATTATAAAGTGTGATTAAAGGCGAGCATTTTTTTTTTTGGCAGAGAATGAGTTTAGTGGAGATGAGAATGTTAAGATGGATGAGTGGAATGACTAGGGAAGATTGAATAAGAAATGAATACAAAAGGGGCAGTCTAGGAGTTGCATCAATTGTGGAGAAAATGAGAGAGAATATGTTGAGATGGTTCGGTGATGTTATGAGAAGAGATAAGGCAGAAGCAGTGAGAGGTGTTATGAAGACGAATATAGAGGGAAAAAGAGGAAGAGGAAGACTAAAGAAAAGATGGCTGGACGGTGGTATTTAAACTATGAGTTCATTGTAGAGACTTGGTTATCGCTAAGTAAATGGCGATATTATATGAATAAGTACATAGATTAATAAAATATAAGCTATGCAATCTTCTATCAGATATGGACATTTTTTAATTTAAGAGATAAATATTAATTTGCAAATTTATATTGACCAAAAATTTGATCATATATTTTAATCATTTAAGTGATGCTGAGTGAATAGTAATTATTAAAAAAAACTACCAATAGATAATAAATTACATTCAGTCTTGCAAGGTATTTTAATACCGTCATTAAAATACATTATTTGGTATTGAATACTGTTTTTAATCATTTGTTTTCCATTATTTAAATGCATCGAATTACGTTATGTATTTTATGACGTTTATACGATTATAGAAGCCTAGTTTGATCATTTTTATTATTATAACAGAATTGTTTAATCGATTTTACAGTAATTTTATATTATATTATGATCTTATTTTTTTACCTATTATCCCATACAAAAAGGGCCGTCCAACGAATTGTTTTCTTTGCACAAGTCTTTATCCGGCAATAGATTCACTTTGGACTGTATACTTAAAATCTATATATTGATTTGAGGGTAAACTTGAAAATTAAATATTTGTTTCGTTCTAGTTATTTATTTAATTTAAACTACAAGTGTCACGTCTTTCCCTTGCTCTAATAAAACTTTTAGGTACCAAATTTTGTTAATAATATATCTTCCAAAAGACAAGATTGAAGACAACGCTCAACAAAATCCTACTGTATACTATATTTACAAAAGATGTATGAACTATGTAAGATGCGGTAAAACTAATTTATACTTGACAGCCTAGTTCTAAAATCGTCAACTAATTTAGATAACAAGTAAATATAATGTTTTATTTAAATGATAATATAATTAAGAATTTGTGGAAATTTTAATATATTAATTATTATTTTCTAACAAATAGTATTAAATTAAAACATATAGGTACATATAAACTGGGTATATTATAATATTGTAATATTATTATATTATTTTAAGATTATACGGTTTTAGTTAGATAATTGATAAATATCCAAGTACTATTCACAATAAATAAATGATAATCAATTTCCTCTTGTAACTTATTCGTAGTAGCGATTCATTATTTTCAAGAATTTCGCAAAGTTTATGTTACCAACTAAAAAAAAAAAATTACATTTTTATGAGCGGTGGTCAATAATAATTATGATTAATTCGTTAATATATTATTGGAGAATTTACCATAGTCATTTTGAGGATGTCCGCCTTTTGGCGGATCATACATTTCACGTCTTGCGAGTTCCAAATAAGTAGAAAACTCTTCCTCAGTGAAGAAACCATCACTATCTACATCGTATTTAGCGAAATCGTTTAAGAACATCTGGACTATATCTGTGTACGTACATTTTTCTTCTATGTGTTCCTGTACAAATTTCAAAGTAAAAAAAATGGTTTAGACTGTCGAATAGCTAATTAGTAGGTAATGTAATACATAAGAACACAGCGAAAAAATGTAAAATTTATAAAAAAAATTAATAATTTTTTTTATGTGTACCGTCCTACTACGTTCTGCTGTAACCATCATCAACTCCATCAACTCTTTCTCAGCGGATCCTGTGCATGTTACAATTATTAGTATCGTTACAAATAATATGTATTATAGCCAAACGTATGAAACTTAATTATTTTAAGATTGTATTCTTACGGTTGGATTTGAAAAGGAATTTCGAATCATGTTTCGGGTCAGCCATACCAAACTCGATGAAGATTTTTTGAATTTCCGTAGGTTCAATACTACCGGAAACAGTTTTGGGACAATTATCAAACCAATCAATGAACTTTTCTATTTGCTGTCGGACTAGACCATAACCCTGTAATGTAATAAATAATATCAATGATATTATTTCGACTGTTAGATATTAACTTTAATTTGTTTTATTGTGTTTAAAACTGTTTTTTTTGCTATTTTAAATACAATGATATAAGTTCATTGTTTATAAAGTTTTTATTTAATAACCGCTAGAGATTTTATACTCCAATTTTTACACATAATATAATTGCTTACTTCTGGTTTTATTTCCAACATTATCAACAAGAAATCCGCTTCAGTAATAACAAATTGGGCTTTAATTGAATTCAAATTAAAAAATTTCGACGTCATGTAATTTAACTTTAAAAAGTTCCTTTTTTTGTGTTTAACTTTAAGCTTTTCGACTACTTTTTCGATCTCCGTATCGTCTAATTTTAAATCTTTTAATACACTTGGTAGCTGTTGAAGACTAAGACATCCATCTTGGTTTGAACCGTTGGCGTGTTCGGTGAACACGCTGAGGAAGAACTCCACTTCGAAAGGCGTAAGCATTTGAGTCTATGTCCAATGTAAACACACACAAAATCAATGCGTTATTAATTTAGAACATAATGATATTTGATCACAGTTGATGTACATTTTTCGTTTTTAGTTTTAAAAAGATATTTCAGACCGAATACCTCGAAGCTGTCGTTTGTTTTCTTATCTTTATACGCCAACTTCAACAGCCACTTCTTCAAATCCACAGAATTGGTCCCATCTAAATGAATTGATTAGTACTCAATTAGTTTTCAGGTCGTTTAATTTTTTTAAAGTACAGATTGATTAATTTTTGGTGAATCGTGAAATTTGTAAAAAAAATGTAACTTCTGAAGAGGTAAAAAAATATTATAAGTTCGTTTTTCGTCAAATGGCCGAATGGTATTATTATAATGAATTGTTTATTATTTCCGTTTTCTACCACGGTAATAACGGTGATGTTAACTTACTAAAGTTTGAATACTGATAACACTAAATTTATATTGGTGGTATACTGACACGTACACAGACATACATAATAAACTAGATTGCTAACTAGTGGTAAGAATTTAAGTTGACGTCAGCTGATTTTGTTGGATTCGTATGCATACAAAATAATATATATATATATATATATAAGATGGGGGGAGGTGGAGTACGGTAGATAGTTATTTATAGTTATTTCTATTTGCACGCATTGCTCCACCGCAATCCACCTCCTATCCTCCTTCGCTGTAAACTCAAATAAATTTAAAAGTAACTATCCAAAACTTGTTGTCAACCAGTTGTCGATAAAAATTTCAACAAATTATTTCTAATAAAATGGATATCTTGAAATTTTAAAAATAAGTTTAACAAAAAAAATACAAAATAGTATAAAAGCAGTTAAGTACAATAAAAAACGTTGTGCATATAGCGCATAATATGAGTATAAAGAAAAAAATCTTAGTTATTTCAGTTGTCTTATCTTTGTGGCACACCTGTATAAAGAAAAAATTATTTCTCAAAATATTCATATTTTCCTAAAAAATCAGTGTCTTACACAAAATTAATCACCCTGGATAAAAAAATTCCAACACTACTAAGCTGTTGAATGTTAATTGTACAGTGTAATACACTCAATTTTATGGAATATGATTGACATATTATTTTGTATCTTAGTGCTCTACTTTAATTGCCCGTAGATTACATAATGATTGGAAAATGTAAACAATATTTTACTTGAATCGCAATCAAAAAGTTCCTTAGGCTCTCGAATTCCAAAAAATTCTTTCGTAAGCTGTGTGATATTTTTTTCGGTAATATTGTGATTTTCGTACAGCTTAATAATTACACATAGTTGTTCACTGTTCAGTCCAATGCTCTGAAATAAAATAATATCATTTACAGTTTCATTAAATGTGTATTGCGATGACGTGGCAGATTTACACATATATTTTGTATGCTGTTCTGTCGAGCCAACGTTGTATAATCTACACACATTTCATCTGAGATAAATTGATATCTAAATAATCTTACCCATGCTGACGTTATGAAATACAACGCGCACAGTATAACAGCACTTTTAAAATGCATATTACCTTTTTAATGAATTAAAAAACTACAAATGAGTACGTTAACAAATAACTACTACGGGCACCAAAGTCGAATAACGAACAACCAGTCGAGGAAGTATTTTTTACTTGTTTTTCGTATTCTGGTAAAAAACTATGTATACCGGGCCAAATATTATTGGACGTATTTAATCGATGGCAAGGAGGAAGATGAAGGGGTTTGCTAAATACACACAACTGTAGATTTGTATACTATTATTTTGCAGTATTATTATTTAGAATAACTTGTATTTTTTCTTACCTCGGATGTGGAGATGAGTTGGTTTTTTTGTTTACAATAAATGTGTTTTTTATTTTTTGTTGTTAAGCTGTTGACAAGAGTCAACGCGTGTATCTGAAAAACACATAAACACGAAAAAGTATTTTTTACTTGTTGTTCGTATTTTAGCGCAAGTGTTAATAAATCTGGGTGTGGATTAGGCAGTAAATGCGCAAAGCTGTATCGCAGGCACTAAGCAGTTTTGCTAGATACACACAACTGTAGATTTTTGTACCGTTTTGTTGCAGCATTATTATTCACAATAATTCCTATTTTTTTTTTACCTGGGATGTAGAGATGAGTTGTTTTTTTGTTTACAATAAAATATGTGTTTTCATTTTGTGTTGTTTAGCTGTTGATAAGAATCAACGCATGTATCTGAAAAACACTTTTATTATATTGTTTACAAGCTGTCCGGGACCGGCGTGGCCTGGGATTTAGTTTGCCAGGACAGAGCAAAATAATTACAATTTATATAAAAAAAAACTCAGTACTCCAGGTTGTATATTGTAGAGCTTCAGCATAAACCGTCTCGGCTTTTTTATAATCTACATACATTACATTATATTGTATAATCCAAAGTCGTTCTGGAGTTACGTAAAAAATCTCAAAACTGATAAAGATATCCCTAATGAAATGTATTACAATGATACATTTTGTTCAGGTGGTCCAATGGTTGCTAATCTATTCAAGGATATTTTCAGTTCATGTTATTCAGACAACAAATTCGATGATAGGTCAGCTTCACTGAGTACAAATAATCTAGTAGATTTATCCACTATTACGCACTCTGTTACGGATATTTTTAATAGTCTTGAACATTTAAATTCAGATCCTTCTCCTGGTCCAGATGGCCTCCCCAATATTCTACTAAAGTCTTGCTTATACGCTTTAACCATTCCTATTTACAAACTGTTCAACCGTTCGTTAAATTAAACGTCAAATTCATAGTGATGAATGAAAGAAGCGATTGTTTGGGGTTGGGGGTGGGAATGAGGATAGGAGGGGGATGAAGATGGGGTTGGGGGTGGGAATAGAGTTGGGATAGGGGAAAGATATATGAGATAGGAGGTAAGAGATAGGAGATAGGGGTAAAATACATGAGATAGTGGGTAAGGGGTAAGAGATAGGAGATTTTTAAATAGACATTTTTAAAAAACTGTGTTAAAAAAAAATTACGATTCGTTTAACTTATAAATTGGTTTGAATTTTTATAGGGCTTTTTGAAATATTTATATCGTTTATGGTACACATGAGCCACACATACAGTTAGATATTTTAACGTTCAGTCACAACAAAAACAAATATTAAGGTCTATGGGATTGAGGTAAATTCAACTGCACACTAAAAACTAAGAAAATTCTAGAGTGCTAGGTATGAATCAACATTTTAAGCTAATTACTTCCACTATTAAACGTTATAAACATATTTTAATATTATCTTTAAAATTTGAGTTGATAGATCTCCTGGAAAATTTTAATACTAATCTAAATAACTTGACACCTAAGGAATGGAATAAGATATTTAACAAATATGACAGCGAGAATAATGGTTCAATCTCCGCAGCAGAATTACAGAAATTATTATACGATGAGTTCAAAGTATTTCTCACCATTCGCAATGCAGAGGCATATACATATTCAATTAATAATCATATGAGTAATATAAAAAAAAAACCAATGTTATACAAAAAAATCATTTTACAAATACCTTTATTATTTTCAGACCGTACAATAGGATGGAAGCAGTTGAAAAAAATTAAACTGATAATATTTGTTTTGTCACAGGTTTTTTGTGTTTTTTTTTTGTTTTTGTAGAGACCGTTCTATTTATTAAATTTTGCAGTTTTTGCGGTTATTATATTACTGTGTAATATTATAAAATACCTAAGTATTAAAATTTTCCAGAAGATCTACCAACTTTAGAAATTTTAATGATGATTAAAACATGTTTATAACATTTTATGATGGGAGTAAAAAGCTTAAAATGTTGATTCATACTTAGCACTCTAGAATTTTCTTAGTTTTTAGTGTTCAGCCAAATTTACCTCAATCTTATAGACCTTAATATTTTGTTTTGTTGTGGCTGAACGTTAAAATATCTAACTGTATGTGTCACTCATGTGTACCATAAACCATACAAATACTTCAAATAAGCACTATAGAAAGTCAAACCAATTTATAAGTTAAACGAGTCGTAATTTTTTTTAACACTTTTTTTAAAATGTCTTTACAGAACTCATTATAGATAAGAAAAATGTGTAAGCAAATTATTCCCAATTAAAAATGTTAACTAGTTATGTATGTCAACATTTAAGTTTCAACAATTGATAAATTACCAGGAAATGCTATAAAATGATTGTGTACAATAATTAATAAAACATTTGTTGCATCTATGCCTTACCAAAAAAAGTCATTATTAAACAAAAAGCGCTTCTGAAATGTATGACTGTTCTTCGACTAGAAAGAAGTTTTAGAAGTAATCAAAATTGTCGGCCATGACGGTAGCGAAAAACTTAACTATTTTTTGAACTTTGTTTTTTAATTAGCTACAAACTGTTTATAGAAAAACTACCAATTGAATCGACAGAGTACCACGAAGTACTAAAAATGTTACCGGCTTTGCAGCGGGTTGGTAGTTATAATTCTCATATTATTTTTACTTTATTAGCACGATTGATCACAACACCAGGTAGAAAGATGATATTCAAATTTCGCCTCGAAAATTTAGCAATAATATTCATTAAAAATATTATTTGAACATGTTCATCGAACAATAATTAAGCATTTTGTGTTATAACATATAATAGAATAACGTGTTTGTTAAAATTTCTAGATGGCAGATATATACCGGGATTATGTATTCTGTAGCGGTAGAGATAAATGTAAGTATAAGAACACCATTGTAGTGGTCATTTTTATTGAATAACATTTACATTTTTCCAGATGATCACTGGTTTTAGTCTTCTCAAATATGCACGTAAACATAAGCTGTTCAGAGAAATGCCTGGTTCTTTCTTATTTAAGCTCCACTATCGAATCAATAGTGTAAATCACATTTGTTTATAGACGCCATTGATTTGTTAAGGTTTTAGTATTTTTGTTTTTTTTTTGTTTTTTGCAAACCAAAAACATATTTAAATTTTTTTCAGACATCACAATAAATTTCTTAAAACATTATATTAAAGAACACTCTATGCGCTAGAATATTACGTATCATACATTCTTATATAAATACAGTATATACATACATTTCAATAGAGATATTAAACGGTTGTAAATAATCAATAGATTATTTAATTAATTTGTAAAATTGCTAAAGATTTACTAAATATAATTCGTGTAATGGAATATTTGTTTATGTATTTTTTAATTATTCCATTTTACTTTGATGGATACTAATTAGTCCTATCCTTTACCTTATAGCTCTATATTATGTTAGCAACTTAAAAAGATTATAATCAAACCTAATATTAAATCCATACAACAATTATGACTTTATAATTTACCTGAAAAAATTACTTTAATTCAACTTTAATATCATAAGCAATTTTATAAAGCAAACAGTTGTACACACTTTAAACTAGGTCATAAACAAAAATCTGTGCAAATTTTCATTTTCTTGCAGGTCTCGTACCCATACACCGCGTACCTATTCTGAATAACAATTACCAAATAGGTAAACGTAAGATTACAAAATAGGTTGCTATATTTGTTTACCAGCAACTTGCTGCTGCCTGTTGTACTAACTTTTAAAATTTGCTTCATTTGGTTTACCTCCAATTTTCGTTTATCATAATTCTGAAATGCACACAACAGTGTCAATACTTCTTTGTTGATATAACGCGATATGGAACTAATCTAGTTTAGCGCCCACGCATGTTTGCGTTTTTTTATTCTTCAAAATGTATGGTACTTTACGCTGATGGCGTTGGTGAAGTCAGATTTGGTCGGTCGAACTTACATTAGAAGTTACAAACAAAAACTATACTTTTTACAAATATTTGTATAGGTGTTATTATTTCAAAAGTAACAACCAACCGACCAAATCTTATCGTCATCGTCATCAGCGTAAAAAAACTCACAATTTGAAGAAAAACGCTCTAAACTATATTTATGCTGAAAGGGCATAAAAGGAAAATACTGACTAAAAAAAATTTAGAATTGTGCCACGATTTAAAAAACCGAAAATTTATTTTATTTTACAACGCATTCAGCCAAAAAAAAATTTTAATTTAAACCTAAACCCGGTAGTAGAGTATCAAAAATTAATAGTATCACTCTGTCCATAATAATGTTGCAATGATTTGGTTACACATTTTTAAGTTTTAAAGTGTTTATGTTAAAATATACGAAATCTGCGAAAAAACACAGATTTCCGGCAATTAAAGAAAAACTGAAGTTCCCAATTTTTTCTTCGCTTATTATGTTATTTATTTTAACTGTGAAGAAGTAAACTTTTTCAACCTTTTCCTTCCTCTTCAATGTACCAATAATGTGAAATTTGTAATTTATAAATTTGCTACTCGAAGGAACTGGAAGTATTGAGCATTGTAAAGACAATACAATTATTGAAAGTGTATATAATTTATGGGTTTTCTTAATCATTTGTTCTCATTGTTATACGTGTAATAAACCATATGATAAAAGGATTTTTTTCAGATACAGTTGACTCCTATCAACAACTAAACAACACAAAATAAAATTACATTTATATAAACAAACAAACCACTCATCTAAATAATAATGCTGCAAAAAAAGGGTACAGAACTACATACAT